CATAGGTAAACTATAACTAGAGTATTCTCAATCCAGAAAATGTTGCGTTTCTTTTTTCCATCAGTCTATTTTCACTTAATAAACCTAAGTTTGGAAAATTAGCTGGTGTTTGGAAAAATTGAGCAAATTAGGCACTGTAGCACTCTCAGTGTTGCAGCTAAAGTGAGCCCTGTAGCTGAAAGTGCTTCAGTACTCTGGTTTTAAAAAGCTGGCCCATGCATCTTTTTGCTTTAGTCTGAGATGGTGGACATCCTGAAAGGAATTCTCTCCAGCGTCACGAAACCAGTGGATTTCGTGCCCCCCGATCTTGACTTCACCCCCGATATGTCTGGCGTGACGGAGGCCTTCACCAACATGGTCCTGAATCCCTCGAACCAGACCAGTGCCCGCAGGAGAAGGAGAGAAGGTATGGGGTGATTAGACAATCAAAACAACCAGCACCCTTTCGTAAAACAGCAGTGCTCCTCACAGAAATGTCCCCCCGATGAGAAAAACATCTTTGATCTTATTGCCGAGTTCTCTAGGGAATGATCAGTTCAATCCTGACTGACACCTGGGATATGTAAGGGCCCTCCATCTGTGGAGCCTCGGCAGGGTTGCTGGTCATAAGTTACCAGCTGGTCAGCTGAGTGATCTCGAAACAAACTTAAAAGCCCAGTTGTGGTCCAGACTGGGAAATGATTGAATACAGATTACAGATGAGAGAAAGGTGCTGGTTTTGTCCCTGATCCCCTCTCAGACAGAGTGTCCTTCCTGAGTGTTTATGTGTGTTCCAGCATGCACCACAGTTCCAACTGAAGACCAGATCCGCAAGCTGGGCGAAGGCAGTGTCGTCTTCAGTGCCAGTGACCTGAAGTGTATGACCACAGACACCTTCAAGAACACACTGGACATCCTGGGGTCACTGAAAGCCCTGAGCAAGGAGCAGCTGGACGCCCTAAAGGCCAAGGCTATAGAGGTCAGTTTGACAGACACTTGTGTGTCATCATAATCATAAAGCTTGACCACAATCCTACAGATTATAAAACATAAACAGGTGTAGGGATCTGGGAATGTCACAGTTATTTTCTTCAAACACTACTTCTGCCATGAATCGAACCAACGTATAAAATGCAAGGAATTAAGATCATTATTATAGACCACAGAGAGTCAGGACTTCAGTTTTACATCTCATCCGAAGGACGGCGCCTGTTTATAGTATAGTGTCCTCGTCACTATACTGGGGCATCAGGACCCACAGACTGCAGGGTGAGCGCCCCCTACTGGCCCCACTAACACCTCTTCCAGCAGCAGCCTCAGCTTTCCCAGGAGTCTCCCATCCAGGTACTGACCAGGCTCACACTGCTGAGCTCCAGTGGGGCTGCCAGCTGGGAGTTGCAGAGTGATGTGGCAGCTGATAAAGATGTAAGATGTGTCCTAATGGCACAGGCTGCCACATCACTTTTCTTTTTTTCAGGACACAAGCTGTTACAGATATACAGTAGGTAAATAGCTCTTCCTGGGGCATAAATAAAGATTAAAAGTAAACAGGGGGTCTCCCTGCTTTCCGCTGTGCCCATTAATTCTTACTGACAGACAAAGGTGTCACTATACTACGCAGGCAAAGAATCCCACGACACACTGAAACGCTGTGAAAATAACAGCTGACGGAAATGTGCCTTGTCCCGTATCAGAGCATCTGGAAAGAATCAGAATCTACTAATCGCATACCCTGGACATTTTCCCTCGGCTTCCCGGGGACAACAAACGCAGAATACATCCAACATCCCATGGGCTTCACGGGATGTAATCAATCGGTGCAACACGAATAACAATACAATACAGCACAAAAAACGTTCAAGGGCGACACACATATGCTGTCAATACTGTGCTCTGAAGGGGCCCCAAACATTCGAGCTGAAAATAGAAATGGCACTCAGAATGGATGACTCCTTAAAAGTGTTCATTGGTGCCTTTGGGTGATCAGTAATTCAAACTTTATGTCCTAAAGGCATTTGGAAATGAAACCGTCAAGTACATCCCCAGCCTGAAGAGGATCGTGCTGGCTTTCAGCCTGGAAGATGTGGGCAAATACTTCGTTTCTCCGAACATCGACATGCTGGCGGCGGTGGGGGAGTACAGGGACTGGCTGAACGTGCGTAGTCGTCTTGGAGCGCTCTGCCTCTGTTGTAAACGCCCGCTCGCGCGTAACTGATCGGCCCGTCTGTGGTGCCCTCGCAGGGGACGCTTCTGCTCCAGGCCCAGGCCATCGTGACCAACTTCCTGAAGAACTCCTCGGCGGGCTCGCTGGACAGTAGCAGCCTCGTGGGCCTGGGCTACTTCCTCTGCGTCTTCCCGCCCGAGCAGGTGAAAATGCTCAACGCCTCCGAGTTCAGGTGAGGCGCTGCCCAGCTTTCTGCGCCCTGCTGCCGGGTACGGACTGCCCTGGCTTCCTGTTCGGTACAGGAAGTACCCAACGCAAACAGCCAACTCGCACAACACTTCCACAACTTATTAGAATAACACAGGCCCTATAATTAATGCTATAATTAACACTCTGGCACTCAGGTAGTGGAAGAAGGCCACTGCCAGGACTATCACTGTGGCACGAACCGCCCTCCTCCTGCCTAGCCTTCCCTTTCTCGTCCCGTCTCTCTCTGATGGGGGGGGGGGGGGGGGGGGGGGGCGTAGATAGATAGATAAGACTTTATTGACCCCGTAGGGAAATTGATGAGCCGTCATAACTCAGAGAGAAAAAAAACACACACAGAAACAAAAACAAAAGTAAACGATATTCCAAACTAAAACTAATGTAACTACCGGTAGTAGCAACAAAAAGCACACACAGATCACAAAGTAACTGGAGCTGCTGCAACAGGCTGCCGCCCTCACAGCGCCATATTGGAAATTGCTCAACGTAGTGGTAGTGGGTAGTGGTGACACCCTCACTGTTTCGCCCTGTCCCGCGCTGGGAGCCTCGCGAGGCCAGAGGCCGGTTCTCTGGCGCTGTGGCCCTAACCGTGTCGCCCCGTCTTCTTCCCGTCCTCCCCCTTGGCCCGATCTGCGCAGGAATGCGGCGAGGAGCATCGGGAAGCTGGGCTGTTCCAGCAGCTCCCTGGCGGCGCTGAAGGAGAAGGCCAAGGAAGCCTTCGGACCTGTGTCCAGCTGGTCCGAGGAGCTGCTGCAGGAGCTGGGCACCATTTTGGGTAAGAGCTTGGCCTCACGCTTACAGATATAGACCCTCCACTCAGAGCTCTTTACAGGTCATGGGGATCCCCTCCACCCCCACCAGTGTGCAGCCCCACCTGGATGATGCTCCAGTCCTCTCACACACACCAGCTCTCAGTGGGAAGGAGAGCAGAGTGATGAAGCCAGTTCAGAGATGGGGGTTATTAGGAGGCCATGACTGGTAAAGACCAGGGGGCTCCCATTCACAGTATCAGAGCACAGCGAGTGGTACCCCTGTCAGAGCATCAGAGCACAGGGAGGGGTACCCCTGTCAGAGGCTCAGAGCACAGGGAGGGGTACCCCTGTCAACCCTGTTGTCACAGCAACAGAGCACAGGGGAGGGGTGCCGCAACTCTGCAGGGAGGGCAGTAGACAGGGCGAAGAGGGTGGCGTCCAGCTGGAGTTCGTTAGTCTAATGAGGTAGCCATGGCTCACCTGTATAACGCACTGCCTCTGCGGCGTCCCATGTCTTCCAGCGGGCCTGAACACCAGTGAGATCTCCACACTGCCCGAGAGCGTGATGTCATACCTGACCCCACAGGCTGTCTCCCTCCTTTCCAAGAACGTCTTCAGTGTGAGTGACATCCTGCCCGTTGTCGGTCGGTATCCGTGTTTTGTTGTTTTTTTCTCGCGGCTGCTCAGACCCTCCTTCACAGGGCAGTGCGGTGGCACTGTGACTCAGGATCTGCACCTGTGGCCGGAAGGTTGCTGGTTCAAATCCTGTGGCCGGCAGAGGAATCCTACTCCACTGGGCCCCTGAGCAAGGCCCTTAACCCCAACTGCTCAAGGGGTGCTGTACAATGGCAGACCCTGCACTCTGACCCCAAGCTTCTCTCCCTGTCTGTGTGTCTCATGGAGAGCAAGCTGGGGTCTGCGAAAAGACAAATTCCTCATGCAAGAAATTGTATAGGGACAATAAAGTGATCTTAATCTTAACTGTAACCTCTGCTGGGGTCTCCTGATCCCAGGTAACCTTTAAAAAAAAGGGGCGAAAAGGTTTACAATCGGGATGGGAACCCAGCCCCCCGGATTGTAGAACTCAGACAGCAGGCGGGGAGGAGATTCGGCAGAAGAGGGAGAAAGGCTGGACGTTTTCTGTCCGCCCCCGGCTGAGCCTGGTCTCTCTCTCTCTCAGGGCCTGACGGTGGGACAGCTGAGGAGCCTTGGCACAGAGAACTACGCGGCAGTGTCCCTGGAGCAGAGGCAGGGCCTGAGCCTGGAACAGCTAAGGGCTCTGGATGAGAACTCGGGCACCAGGGACAGCTCCTCCAGTAAGTCCTCTTCAGAGCGCGGCCATGCGGGGATCTTTCTCCTAGAGACAGGGGTATTTAATGGTGCAGTTTCCAGTGGCTGCCTTCAGGCGTCTGAAGTCATCTCAGCTGGCAACAACGACTGCCCCCTAGTTTCTCTGGATACCTCAGCCTGGACAGCAGCCTGTAAATAAATGATCCAAGTTTCGTTGTGTTTGCGTTGAACAGATGTTTTAAATCATTCCCAAATTGCGTTTGGGAATGAAAAATTCCATCTTCCTTGTTTAGGAAGAAATACAGCAGAGTGCCTAGTTCTTCGGAGAGTCCGGCCTCGAACTCCCATGTGAAACTGCAAGAGCCAATTCTTGTTCATTCGGATCACTCATGACACGCTCTTGAAACCCAACACAGGGTCCTGCAAGGTTGAAACCTTGTAAGACTGGATGTACTCGGACTGCATATATTTTTACGCAAAACGTGCATGCTCATATCCACAAAACATGTGCTTAAAAGCATGAATACCCAACATAATACGGATAAAAATCAGGACATGCAAGACAAAGGAATGAGGCACCTTGATCTAGGTACAATACTTCCTAGTTCAAAACTGTAGTCTTAATTCGTTAATCAATTTGAGATCTCTAAAAGCAATGCTGCTCTGCAGGGCTTTGCTTCTGGCTATTTCCAAAGCTTTATGTTTTGCCTTTTCTACCTGTGAAACCTGTTTATTTCCAGCCAATCGCGACTTGCGTTCAGTGAATGAATCATGTTAATTGTATCCTTACTTGCTGTGGCAACACTGATTGTAACCCATCAGCCATGCCAATTAAGCATCTTGAATTGAAATTGAGAGAGAGAGGCCAAAAGCCAGAAGATAACGTCTGCGTTTTTTCTTTTTTTTTTATTTCAGGTGCTGCAGGTGCTACAGCCCGAAATATCCCCATGTTCGCAGCTATCCTCCTGTCTCTGGTGGCCCTGTCCGTTTTACACTAGACAGGCGGTCAGGCCATTGAAGCGAAGTGAAGATTTCAGAGGCACGCCATTCCGCTAAACCAGGGGTGGGGAACCTTTTTTCTGCCAAGGGCCATTTGGATATTTATAATATCATTCGCGGGCCATGCAAAATTATCAATTTAAAAATTAGCCTGCTATATTTGGTCAAACATTGAATTAACTCACCCCTAATGTGATAGTGAAAGCGGCCTGTTGTGATTCCAAACTCCGCTGAAGAGCATTGATTTTATCCAGACGCATTTGGACTCCCAATTCATTGAGTTTAGCATCTGTATTGACCAGAAGTGGCTTTTTTCATTACTGCCAGTTTGCCTTTGACTTCAACCAAAAAATAATCATTCGTCCATTTCTCTTGGAAAGATCGACACTCTGCATCAACTTTTTTTTTCTTTGTAGTCGCCATTTGTAGGATGTCACAC